GGAGAGAGAGAGAGAGAGAGAGAGAGAGAGAGAGAGAGAGAGAGAGAGAGAGAGAGAGAGAGAAAGGAAGGGAGGAGAAAACTGGAACCAGGGGGAGTTGTTTTTAAACTGCTCCCTGGGTATGGCAGCACCTGTCTTTAATCCCAGCATTCCCGAGGTAGAGGCAGGCAGTCTGTGAGTTCAAGGCCAACCTGGTCTACAGAATGAGTTCTACACCAGACAGGACAGCATAGTGAGGCTGTATCTCAAAACAAACAAACAAACAAACAAACCAAAACAAAACAATCAAAAACTATGCTGTAAGGCAGCTGGAGGTGGTGGCAGCAGCGATAAGTCTGTTCATTTGGGTTGTTGCAGGGTTAATCCATTTGTCTGATTGTGTGGTCCTCCTTGCTCAAATGTTGGCCTAACTATTACATTATCTAGCGTGCTTTCTCTTGTCTCCACGTCCGGGCTGCGGCCCCATTACATTGGACATCTCTGTTACTAAAACAGGCTATGGTCTCGGAACTAACCACCCCTGCCCATTCCGCTGAAGCCTTCAGGAGGGATCCCGACTGTTCTCCTCTTGACCCTCGGGTCCTCTGGACTGTCTTACCTAGCTTCAGGCATAGCAGGGCATCCAATAAACAACTGCTAATAAATTACCATTGCCAAACACGTTACAAGATCAGGACTATTCTAAGGAAGAAGCAAGAGGCCCTCAGGGAGAGATGTGCACGTGATAAATTTAGCCAAAGACTCTCAGTGTTGAGCAGGTTTTGCAGAGTGAGAGCTGATAGTCCTGCTATGGCAAGAACTCGGGATATCTGGTCACATTAGGTCAAAGGGAGACAGAGACCAGGCTGATCATATGAGCAGTCTAACTAACACATACTTCAAATCAGATACTTCACCTGGAATACTCATTAGTTCTGCCTAAATCCCCAAACGAAGAGTTGAATTATCCGAAGCCACACTGCCTACATGAGAACGCAGAGCAGTAATAGGAAGAAAAAAAAAATCTGGGAAGTGACATTTGGAAGGGCAAATTTTACTGTTGGGTTTTGTTTTTATAAATGTGGAACCCTGACCATTGAACTACACGCCTTCCAGGCTGTCTTAGTTTATTTTCTATTGTTGTGATAGACTCTATGACCAAAAGCAACTTGGGGAAGAAAGGTTTGAACTCATCTTACAGCTTGTAGTCCACTAGGAAGGAAGCCAGGGCAGGAGCCTGGAGGCAAGAACCGAGGCAGAGGCCATGGACGAGTGCGGCTTACTGGCCTGCTTATACACAACCCAGGTCCACCTGACACCATCACAGTGCGCTGGACCCTCCCAAATTGATCATTGATAACATCCATAATGCTACGACATGTGATGGAGTTTTCAAAGTCTATAGCAAATAAACAACCAGAGTAAAAAACAATTCATTGCTATAAATTATGGGAAAGTATGATACAAACCTTTAGGGAAAAAAAAAATCCCCTAAAATCCCTAGCGCCCCACCACTATAAAACAAAACAAAACAAAACAAAACAAAAAAACCAGAATTGCAATTCAGTTAAACTTAACAACTATTCACTGAGTATTTATTTCTACGGTAATCAGGACGCAGGCCCTGAGGTCAAGGGAACCTGAGCTAGCGCGCCTGGGCTCCGACCTCCTCTTTGTTGCTGGGTTAGCTGAAGGCTTGGCCGCTGGCTTCTTCAGCACAGCTGTGACCTGCCTAAGTACCTCCTCCTAAGAACAAGAGGAGATGGTTTATGAAACTGGGGATTGCGTGTGTCAATTTTTTTTTTCTACAAAAATTTAAAAAGCACGGTCCAAAACAGTGGGAAGAGCTCGTGGGAGAACAGGGGTCCCTCCCCATGCTTCTCTCTGGCAATCACACGGAAGCTGAGGATGTTAAACATCCCGGTGTCAGGGTGTGGCCGTGGCTTTCAGTCAAGCTCGATTTTAATTGGCTATATTTTTCTCCAAAGAAAGCCAGAAGCGGAAGGAAGTGCGCATGCGTGCGTGTGTGCATGGTAATGGTGGTCAAAAAAGTCCCACCCCTGACATGCCATGCATGCACCTCATGCCATGTGCGTGCCTGCGTGCGTGTGTGCATGCGTGCGTGGTAATGGTGGCAAAAGCAGTCCCATTTCTGACAGTCTCAAGGTGCCAGCTAGGAGAGTAGAGACTGGAGGAAGCTATCTCAAGATTAACATCTGGAAGACGCCAGTTGGCAGGAAAAAAACCCAGGAAGTCCTTCCCCATCTGGGCTTCATAAAAGAAACAGAACAAAACCCCACCCTCTGCAGAGGCAACCAGAGATCTCAGCGTGGCCCGTGCCCAGGAAGCATTGGCTACTGCTCTGCCTTTGAGAGCTAACTGGTTAGAGCAGCACACTGAGCTGATGTCACAGAAAAGACGCCAGACAAGGCCACCGAAGACAAGCGAGACACCCTCGCTCGGGGCTCATCTGGAGTACCTCCATCCGAACTCGGTAAGGAGAGTCGTGGAAGTGTACAAAACAAGAATGGGTTTTATGAAAGTCTCACTTATGTAGCCACACTTGCCTGCAAATGGCCATTTTAAGTTTGTTTTTGCCCCCTACAGTTTGTTTTTTATAGTCTCGAGTGCGAGCTAGCTCGGCCCAGCATCAACCGATTTAGCCCTGAAGAGTTCCCAAGATGTGCATTAGCCAAAACGTAGGTGAAATACCTACATCGGCAAACACTTGGGTTTTACTTCCATTTCATTGCTCTGATAAAACACCCCAACAAGAAGCAACTCAGGGGAGACGGGGTTCAGTAGGCCTACAATTCCAGGCTGCAGTCCATCATTTTGGAGGAGACAAAGCAAAGGACCCAAGGAGGCTCCTCACATCACATCCACAGTCAGGAGCAGAAAGCAGGCATGTATACACGCCCACTCGCTTGCTTGCTTGTGCTTAACTTAGTCCCTTCCCACTTTTGAGACGGGGGTCTCACTCTGTAGTCCTAGGCTGGGCTGGAACTCAGAGATCAGAGATCTGCCTCCTGAGTGCTGGGGTTAAAGGTGTGAGCCACCAGGCCAGAGATTTCTCCATTCTTAACATAGTTCAAGACTCCCTGCCTAGGGAATAGTGCCACCCACAGTGGACACGGTCTTCCCTTATTAACTTAACACAATCCTTAAAGACATGTCCACAGGCCAAATACAATGAATCTAATCCTTCGTTGAGACTCTTTCCAGGTGGCTCTGGGTTGTGACAAGTTGACAATTAAAGCTAACCATTACACCTTGTTTCTTACTTCTAGAATCACGTAACCAGGTGACAAGGGCCACAGTTGTACTGTAAGGGAGCAATCCCAGAATGTGGGTTCTGCAGTAGGAGACCACTGAGCTGTCCTCTTCTGTAAGCCTAGTATCATAAAAAGATTCTTCAAGTGCTATTTGGAAGAAGAATGAAGGGCATGCCACCAAGACGTGATTCATGGTTCTGGACTGGATCCTGATTTGGACAATTTTGAAGACAACCTGAGACTCTCTAGAAGGTAGGAGTAAGGTAAAGATAGGACAAACATTTATTGATATGAAAGGGTCCTAAAATGTTGTAAAGGGTGAAAGAGTGTGGTAAAAGCACACACTCTACACATCTATCTGAAAGGATAAAAATGAGAAGGAATTAAAATTCTTGTGTTTGGAATGTCAATCTACAATGTTTCTTTCTTTCTTTTCTTTTTCTTTTTCTTTTTTTTTTTTTTTTTCAAGACAGGGTTTCTCAGTGTAGCTTTGTGCCTTTCCTGGAACTCGCTTTGTAGACCTGGAGAGAAGCCCTCCAGCAACAAGTGTGGGTGCTGGAGATTGAACCTTAGGGCTTTAGGAATGGTAAGGAAATATTCTACCTACTGAGCGACACCCCAGCCAGGCAGTACTTGCATCTGTTGAAGAAAAGCTAACATTATTATTATTATTTTAAATGTACATTTACTTAATTTGTATGTGTGTGTCTGTCTATCTGTCTGTCTATCTGTCTATTTGTGTAGGTGTGGTACATTTGGTCTGCCACGCCACTCAGTGTGTATGTGTCCTACAGGAATTCACTATAAGGTCCTAAACTTCCAGAAGGGCTAAAGATCCGGGGGTCAGAGGTTCAACTTTATATCAGGAAAGCAAGAAATACCTCTAACGAAGGGATAAAGCCACTGCCCAAGATGTTAGCTACGCTGATTTTTAGGAGGACTGAAATCATCAAGAATTGAAGACACTTTCAGTTCCAAAAGATCTAAGAGGAACATGGTGGGGCTCAGATTTTATGCCCAGAGTAATTCCTCTGCTTCCAGGTAGGTCATCCCTGTCTCCAGCTCCTGGAGGCACCAGTAAGGGGGCAGAATAACACATTTAATAGGCCCGTGGAGCCCACAGCCACAGCCATGCGCTGGGACATAGAAGGCATTCATTCACAATCCTTCAGATCCCCACTCAGAACACACGAAGGCTTTCTCCGCCATCCCACCACCCCAAATCTGTTCTCAACGTTTCTTAAAGACTGGGGGTGATGTGGGGAGCCTGGGTTTGAAGGGACATAGTGATGCATCAGAGAGAGAGGACCAAGAGTTTGTGAAAGAACACAGAAAGGACAAGCAACCATAGCTAGGCAGGGAGAGCAGAGACCACGCTCCTCTCTGGAAGTTTCAGTTCTGAGGATTAATTTCTGAGCAGCAGCCTGTGACCTCTGAATCCCTGGGAAGTCAATAAATAACTTCCTGAAGACAATGGGTGCCACCTGTCTCATATTAAAAATGGACTCCAGGGACCCTTGATCAATGGACTAGATAGGAAAAGGAAGTCTGGGCTGCTGTGTGGAACAGACAGCCGTTCATTAAAAGCAATTTTGGGCAGACTCCCAGCAACATAAAGTCTTTTGAAGAAACAGTCCATTAGGATTAGGATTAAAAAACAAAAAACAAAAAACAAAAAAACAGTTGCATTGTTCTTTACCCACCCCAAATCAGGTTCCTTTCTTGCAAGCATGTATTTGCATTTTAACTCTGGCTGCAAGAAACATCCTCTCATCAGGACGGGTTGGGTGACATGCTTGTTGAGGGTTGGCCGTGTGTGTCATAGAGGGTGGAGCCCAGGTCCTAGGGAACCAGAGCTTGAGGAGGTTAAATCGGGTCACAAGGTTCAGCATTGATGAGAGCATCCCACTCCAGCTATTGCAAACTGAGAATGATTTGGTAACCAGCAGGCTGTGCTTCCCACTGACTCTGAAATTCCTAAAGGCTAAATATGCACTTTATATAGGGTCCCTCATACACCCCCTATCAATTTCCCTTACTGTGGTAACTGGGTGCTACCATTTCTTCCTCAGTTGTGTGGAGTCTGCTACACAGAAAACATTGAAAGTATCCAGAGGAAGCAAGGTGGGAAAAACCAACACCTGGTTAGTTTTCTGTCAACTTGATTCAAGCTAGGGTCATGTGGGAAGAGGGAACCTGAGTTGAGCAAAGGCCTCCATTAGACTAGCCCGTAGGTGGTGTTTTCGTGAGTAATGAATGATGTGGGAGGGCCCAGCCCACTGTGGGCGGTGCTAACCCCTAGGCAGGTGGTCTTGGGACATATGAGAAAGAAAGCTGACTGTGAGCTAGGGAAAGAGGCTGTAAGCAGCTTTTCCTTCAGGATCTCTGCTTCAGTTCCCGTCCTGAGCTCCTGCCCTGATTTCCCTCAATGACCTGGAATAAACCTTTTTTTCCCCCACCCTAAGTTGCTTTTGGTCATGGTCTTCATCTCTGCAGAAGAGAGCAAACTGGGGCGCCAGCCATTCTTGCAAGAGTGGTAAAAAGGTATTCTGTGGAGCAAAATAAAAACAGTGTTCATCTCCTCTCATTTGGAAAAAAACGTACTAAAGAGTCTAAGTGTCATGATGGAATGGTGGCTGGAAGGAACGCCGTGTGCATCTAAACTTGCACCCTGAAGGCACGCACCGGAGCTGTGATGGACAGCTCCGATCGCCATGATCGTCATGTTCGTGAGCTGGAGGAGCAGCTCGGGAACGAAGTACTTGCCTAGAAAGCATGAGACCTGGTTTCAACCCCCAGCACCATAAATGAATAAAAAAAGATTAAAATGAAAAATGAAAAACTAAAAATGCCAGGTGCTGGGAGTCTGGAGGGCTGTTTGGTGTCTCCTCATGGCTCTGAGTTCAAGTACAACAGAATCCCTGGGCTGGGTTTCCTAAACATCGACAGGAGATAGGAAACCAACCCAGAAGGGAGCCGCTGGACAGGGCTGGAGGCAGCTCAGAGAGTCAACACAAAAGCAGCTCTGGTTACCCTCTCAAGGGACCAAATGTACAGCCACATTGTCTGATGCTCCCTGGGCTGGCCCCCTCAATTTCCTCCCAGGCCTCCCAGGGAAGACCTCTCGGGCCCTGGCTGCTTGACTGAGATGCGTGATCCTCATCCAGGCTTTCTCGTCTGTGTTGACACAAGACCACGAGAAACCTGAGGGAAATTTCACCCAGGGTACATACCTCATCCCCGTGCATATTAGCCACATATTTGAATTCTGGAATTCCGACTCTGTGTTCCTTTGGAGACTTCCCCACGACGAGAACCCACAGGTTTCTACCTTCACAGGGAAGAAGGAGGAAGAGAAAAATAAGTTATCTCGTAAAATGACAACTGAACTCTGAGAGAATGGGAAGGGAGGCACGCTTCTCCCTCCTGGAGACTTTACAATGTCATGGTGACTTATGTTCATGGGACGAACGTTTCCATGCTTCAAATGCTCATTATTTACCATCAGAGTGAAAAGAAACTCGGCTTAATAAAAACATTTATTATCCTAGAATGTAATTTAAAAGAGCAGTATATTAGGTTACGTTGATCTTATTTTTCCAAATGTTTACATACTGTGTTCTGGGATCCCGGAGCCTTGTAGCAGCAATCTTGCTGAAACACACAATTATACAGTGAAATCACAGTTGATGGTTGACTGGAAGAGTGCCATAGCTTATAAGCAAGAAAGTAAAACTTATAATTCAGGAGGGAGATTTTTTTTAAAGTAAGGAAGGTCTTGGATTCTTGTCTCATACTGTAGGCCTTGTATTCGAGTGCTGATGTGGCCTTGACTGTACCTTTGTACCTTTTGTGTTGTGTTTTGTTCTTTCCAGTGGTGGGAAATCCAAAGCTCAGCACACCAGCAAGGCATGTGCTTGCCCACTGATGAACATCCTCTCTCACCCTCTCCTTGTTTTTTTTTAAAGGCTTTGTTTATCTTTATTTTATGTCTATGAGTGTTTGCTTGTATGCTTGTATGTCTACACATTGCATGCATGTGTGTATACCTCTTGTATGTCTACACATTGCATGCATGTATGTATACCTCATGTATGTATACACATGTATACATGTATGTATACCTCTTTTATGACTATACATTGCCTGCATGTATGTATACCTCTTGCATGTATGCAGTTGCATGCATGTATGTATACCTTTTGTATGTATACACATGCATGCATTGTATGTATACCTCTATGTGCCTGGTGCCTAGGAAATCAGAAGAGGGTGTTGGATCCCTGGGAACTGGAGTTACAGATGGCTGTGAGCTGCCATGTGGGTGCCAGGAGTTGAACCCTGGTCTTCTGGAAGAGCAACCAGTGCTCTTAACTGCTAAGCCATCTCTCTAGCCTCCCTCTTTGGTGTTTTTGAGACCAGGCTGGCCTCCAACTAACAAGTCTCCTTCGTAGCTCTCCCAAGTGCCAGGGTGACAGGCATGAGTTGCCATGCCTGGCTTTGTCTGTGCATTTGAGTCTATTGAGTTCCGTCAAGTAAGCCAGAAACCACAGCCCGAGCTAAGAGTGCCAAGGAAAAGCTTGCAAGTCCCCTTTTGGCTGCAGACTGCGATTCAGGCAAGCAAGGGCAGAAACAGGGTCACCGAGGCTGTGTGTGTGGCAGGCCGTACAGCTGGCGCTCTGCCCCAAGTAATCATAAATGCTTTCTTGTCGTGAACCACTGAGCGGGACTGCTGATCAAGCTTCACACCTGAGAAGCTATTATGCAGACTGCTATGATCACACATTAAGAGACTATGACTTGATCCCCAGAGTGAAGAACTGAATCCTTGACTTCAATTCTAATACTCCTCCTACCAACCAACAAGACTCCTCTTCAAGGGGCTAAATTTCCAAGCTGGTAACACAATTAAGAAGTCAAACCAGGCATGGCGGTGCATGCCTGTAATCCCAGCACTCAGGAGGCTGAGGTAGGAGGATTGCCATGAGTTCAAGGTAAGCCATGGCCATATAGCAAAACACTGCCTTAACCCCCTCTCTTACCAATAAGCCTAGATTAAGAAGTCTCTTTTGATTTTAAAATTGTCTAGATCTTTTAGTATAGTTTCAGAGATTTATATAAATATATAAACATATATATAAAATTATAAAATAGATATATCATGCATATATACATCAATACAAATACATATATACACACACAGAATCCATGTATCTGTGATAACTGTGCTATATGTGGAATTTAAGAGCCTAGGAAAGGAGCAAAACAGCAACAAATGGGCTAATGCTGAGCAGGCGTCGGCAGGGTTTCAGCTCTAGCTCCTTCAGTCAGGGACACCTAGGGGCTGAGGAAGGCTCAGTGTCCCGAGGGACCAAGGGGAAGCACACACTGGGCTCATCTTTTTCAGCATGTATCCATAATGAATTGGAATAAAACTTTAGGGAACTCTGCCATGACAGAGCGATGCTTTAAACTCAGCAAAACTACAAGAACTCTTAGACAATGCCCAGAATGTGGTTTAGTTGATTCATAGTTCCTGCCCTATGCAGAGTTCTTGTTCATTCATTCATTCATTCATTCATTCATTCATTCATTCATTCATTCACTCATCAGCTTATTGAAGATCACTATGTCCAGTCATCCATCTACCCTAATTCAGAGTGTACAAATAAGTCATGCTCTACATCTTTTACGAGGGTACCGGGACTTGAGTCCAACATGCTAAACCCGTGTTCTCCCACTTCGTTATGCCTGCAGCCCCTAAATTTCTGATTTAGTGAAGCAAAGCAATATGCAAACATAATCACACCAGTGTGGCATATATAACAATAGAGGCCCCTGTAGGGAGCCGTTCTGTGTGCAGAATGAAAGAAGAGATGGTTACCCTTCTCCCAGCAGGAAACTGTAACGCACTCTACAGGGCTCAAAACACGATGCTGCTTCTGAACAGGATTCCAGAGAGACTCTGGCTTTGCCATGTGGGGAGGGACACACTCCACCCCATCATTTCCCCACCTGAAGTTAGTTACCCAGAATGCCTCCATTCCCCACTGCCGGGAGCTCTCTGGTCATCTGGAACTTCAGTCCTACAGGGTTAACATTTTTACAGGAAACAAAGTTGTATTTGTTTGTTTGTTTTAATGAGGCAGCTGTTAATCATGGTTCTTTGAGTTTGTTCTGAGAAACACTTTTTTTTTTTTTTTTTGGTAATTATTAGTGCTTCCAAGGATAGGTCATCACAGGTTTGTATTGAGTATAGTCTTGCTCCTCGTAGTCGAGGGGAAAATTCGGTACCATCGCAACAACAGCTGCTGTTCATAATTCAAAGTCTGCAGTCACTGGCTTGTCCCATACATGGCAGTGAATGACAACAAAACTCTACTTGAAATGGATACCCAATATTATTTAGTATAAAGGAAATCAAATCAATCAAATGTAAGTGGGAAAAAAAATCCTTCAGGGGGAAACTCTATCCCACTTTCAGTGTGGACGACCTCTACGTGAACTGCAAGACAAGAAACTGACCTTGAGTGACCTCAATGGCTCCAAGTCTGAGAAGGAGGTGCAATCAAGTCACCTGAAAAATGCAGAATCCTCTTGGCATGAGGACCCTCATCAAGGGCTTTAACCACCCTCTCTACCAACACTGGGCCCTCTAGCTTGGACTCAAGTACACAAACAAAAGACAAACCACTTGCTTTTAACCCTATAGTTGCCAAAGTAAAATTTAAGCAAGTTCCCCCCCCCCCCCAGTAAGGTTGAAAATACTTGATTTCCCAAAGTTGTAGCAAATAACAGGGATGCTCAAGAGATCTGAGTTAGGTGGGGAAAAAAAGCTCAGCAAGTAAAACAGCTTGCTGGGTAAGCCTGAGCCGAAGTCCTGGTGGAAGGTAAGAACCAGCTTTCTCCTTACCACTGAGCAAATGAAACTCGGATTCAGGATATATCAGTATCTGATTTACTGATATGGGTTTGACAGAAATCCTGGGCTTGTCACATGGGTGCTCAACTGGGTTTGTATGGGGGATCAGGAAAGGATGTATAGTTTAGAAGCATTCACTGAAATGTAGAAGATGGGCTCAGTAGGTAAAAGTGTCTGCCACCAACCTGGTGACCTGAGTTTAGTCCCCAGAACCCACAATGGAAGGAGAGAACTGAGTCCTAAAAGTTACCCTCTAACTTCTACACGGGTTCCAGGGCACACGTGTGCCCATGCATATTCAGATCACATACGCATGTGTACACATAATAATAATGGGTACTTTCTAGATTTAGTTATATAATTATGTTATGTGTATGTGAGTTTCGCCTGCACCTATGCATATGCATTACGTATATGCCTGGAGGTCAGAAGAGGGTGTCAGCTAAAACAGCGACCTGCATGTGCAATAGTGGCGTAAACGTTATTCATGTAACCAACAACTTTAAAAAATTAGATTTAAGGACCACTCAGTGTGGAAACCCAGACCTTCCACTGCTAAAATAGCCAAGAACCTGAGACTGGATAAGTCATGGGCCTAGAGGAAAACTCACTACTCTTATTCTGCTAAAGGAACGTGGCCATAAATTGACTCCTGGTGACATATGGCTATACCTATAGATCAGTGCCTCACTCAATCCTCATCAGAGAAGCTTCATCTCCCGGTAGATGGGAGTTAACAGAGTCACAGCTAGACAATGTGCATAGTGAGAGACTTTGAATGCTGTCCTAAATGGGATGTCTTCTTCAAACTCTTCCTCTCAAGGCTCGGGGATCTATGTGGAAGACGAATCAGAAAGATTGTAAGAGAGGGGCTGGATGACGACCAAGGACACAGTGTCTTCCAGACACGACAGGCCTGATGCCCACATGAACTCAGAGACTGTGGCAGCATGCCCAGGACCCACACAGGCTCAAGCCTGCAGACATCATCCCAGCACTGAGAGGAAATGGACACAGAGTCCCACCCCTAACCAGGAAGCTATTTGCAATTGATACTTGTTGGGAAAAGAAAATCAGTTTTCTATAATGGAATGTCACTGGGTATAATCAACTGCACTCCAGGGCAGACCCCAGGCCCAGGAGTAGTCGGCCAACACGAAATGAACTCCATGTTTTTTTTTTTTTTTTTTTTTTTTTTTTGAGACAGGGTTTCTCTGTGTAGCCCTGGCTATCCCAGAACTCACTCTGTAGACCAGGCTGGCCTCAAACTCACAGAGACACACCTGCCTCTGCCTCCCAAGTACTGGGATTAAAGGTGTGCACCACCATGCCCTGTCATTTTGATTTTTTTTTTAAGATGGGCTTTTTGTTTCATTTTGTTTTGATAATTTTTGTCTTAATGGCTTTTT